CCCCAAAACCCCAAAACCCCAAAACCCCAGACAACATGAAGTAAATTGAAAGGTATTGGTTACAAATCTATATTATAAAAGAGTGATTCATGAGTGGTTCTATTGATCTTCTCAAAGCTTTAATATTTCTCTTTAATTTGTGTCGAGTTCTAGTCTTAGCCTTCTTCTTGGGAATCAGGACTTCAGGAAGAGCGAGATTTGAGAATTTGATTGATTTTGATACATGAGTATAATCAATAGAGTTATTCTGATTACGATTCTTGGAAAATCTTTGTTTTGGAGCATTGTTTCTGAGTTTCTATTGATAGATTATCGTGTTTACCTTAAATATGCGAGATCTCAATGTAAGAGACGGATTAGGATTTTGACTTTTTATTTGATCCTTTTCTGGTTTATTTTTATGTCAAATAATAGAACTAATTGAATCTTTCCCATTTTGTTGCTTGTTAAGGAACTTCAGTCTCGTAATCTTTTTGTCAAGTAAAGACTGGAGGTTAAAGGCAAGACCATTTATTAGTTGGACAAGAGAGCTATGATCTTCATCAGTTCCCTCCAAATTTATTCTCATGCGCTTGCTTCTGACAAGTTCTTGCTTGATTCTCCTCATAAGCTTCTGGATCCTGCTTATTCCAGGAACAGAGAGGTACTGAATCAGTTCATTTCCTGAAATCTCGTTGAGCTTCTTTTCTCTTAGGTCTTCGCAGATCGAAATCAAGTGATTGAAATCATTTTTGTAGTGGGCTTGAGCCATTTCAGAGAAGTAGTTGTTCCTATTGCTATCTGAACCCCAAGATATCCTCTTATTGAAAGAAAGATTTTCAAAACATGCCATTTTGGAAATTTTATTTTCTCTGAAGTTAAAGCCTTCCTCATCTTTGAAGTTGTTCGGCCTGATCTGCAAATCTTTGACCATGACTCTTGGCTTGAAGCTAGAAAGCCCCTGATTTGTTTTTGATTCATATAGCGTTCTGTAGCTAGTTCCTTGCTTCACATTGGACACAGGATGAAATTGTGAAATAATGCTCAATGGCTTTGCTGGTGAATTCATTTTATTTAAACTTCAGGTTCTATATGAGTTAAGCTGGTTATATATTAGGATCAAGACTCTGCTTAGAGAGCTGAGCTTGGTTACTGACCTCGGCGTCACTGTCAAACCTAACACTGCTGATACTGATCTAAAGTTTAGAGATTTCCTACCTTGAGATTTTTGTAGGATTCATTGTCATTAGTTTCTGCATCTGATTCTCTGATTTCTAAAAATAAAATTTGAATACTGAGAGAAAGATCTAAAAAATTATTAAGCTAAATTTTGAAATTTTGACCAATTTGTTTGGAGCGTACTTGATAATCCAAAATTGCCAATTTGGCTGATATCTCAATTTTTCTGGCTGTGAAAGATTCCTTCTGTATTATTAAATATTCCGAAGACTTACCAAACCTCATGCTCAGAGCCTTTTTTGGAGGCTTCTACATTATTAGGGAAGTTTTTACAATATCATTGAAATGAAGCCCAGAATCGTCATCCACAGAACGCTTTCTGGCGACCTTCTTCTTATGAACAGACAACAAATGGAATTCTTTTCAGAAATTGGTCGGCTTGAGCCTGTGTAATGATTTCCCTATTTCAAGAATTACAATAAGTTTCAGAATCTCCGGGGTTTTGGGGTTTTGGGGTTTTGGGGTTTTGGGG